AATATTTCCCTGTGTGTTGACACTATGGTAATATATGTCCCTGTGTGTTGACACTATGGGATAATATGTCCCTGTGTGTTGACACTTTGGTATGATATGTCCCTGTGTGTTGACACTATGGTATAATATGTCCCTGTGTATTGACACTATGGTATAATATGTCCCTGTGTGTTCACACTATGGTATAATATGCCATTGTATGTTGACACTGTGGTATATTTTGTCCTTGTATGTTGACACTTTGGTATAATATGTCCGTGTGTGTAAACTATGATATAATATGTCTCTGTGTGTTGACACTGCGGTATATTTTTTCCTTGTGTGTTGACGCTGTGGTATATTTTTTCCTATTGTGTTAACACTATGGTATACTATATCCCTGTGTGTTGACTCTATTGTATAATATGTCCGTGTGTGTAAACTATGATATAATATGTCTCTGTGTGTTGACACTTTGGTATAATATGTCCTAGTGTGTTGACACTATTGTATAATATGTCCGTGTGTGTTGACACTGTGGTATATTTTGTCCTTGTGTGTTGACACTGTGGTATATTTTTTCCTATTGTGTTGACACTATGGTATACTATATCCCTGTGTGTTGATATAATATGTCCGTGTGTGTTGACACTTTGACACTGGTATAATATGTCCCTGTGTGTTGACACTATGGTATAATATTTCCCTGTGTGTTGACACTATGGTAATATATGTCCCTGAGTGTTGACACTATGGTATAATATGCCATTGTATGTTGACACTGTGGTATATTTTGTCTTTGTGTGTTGACACTGTGGTATATTTTTTCCTAGTGTGTTGACACTATGGTATAATATGTCCCTGTGTGTTGACACTATGGTATAATATGTCATTGTATGTTGATACTTTGTTATATTTTGTCACTGTATGTTGTCACTGGGGTATATATTTGGTCCTTGTGTGTTGTCAATATGGTATATTGTGTCCTTGTCTATCTATTGATACTGAGGTATAAAGGTCCCCATGTGTTGACACTGTGGTATGTTTTGTCCTTGTGTGTTGACGCTGTGGTATGTTTTGTCCTTGTGTGTTGACGCTGTGGTATGTATATCCTTGTGTGATGACGCAATGGTATAGTTTGTCCTTTTGTGTTGACGCGGTGGTATGTTTTGTCCTTGTGTGGTGACGCTGTGGTATGTTTGTCCTTGTGTGATGACGCAATGGTATAGTTTGTCCTTTTTAGGTCACCTGAGCTTTGCTCAAGTGACCTATTCCAATCGCTTTCGTCCGTCGTCGTCCGTCGTCCGTCGTCCGTCGTGCGTCGTGCGTAAACTTTTACATTTTCAACTTCTTCTCAAGAACCAGTGGATGGATTTTTTTCAAACTTGGTCAGAATCATCCTTGGTAGATGAGGCTTCAAAATTGTAAAATTGGGATTCCTACCCCGACCCCTGGGGCCAGGGCGGGGCCCCAAAGGGAAAATTATCCAATATTTCAAAAATCTTCTTCTCCAGACTCA